CCTAGTTCTAGTGGTGTTTTCTATGTTGTTCAGAATCCTTTAAATGTTTCGGGCGAGAAAGAGGGTTCGAGAACTCCAAACATTAGAGAAAACCAGAGTTCCATCATTTGCAGTGATGCTTGTTCGCTTAGCCAAGATGCTGTGGTTCTGAATTCGTCCGCTGAAGAGAAGCAGTCAGCAGAATTTGAAAACATTGCATCAGTTGAAGGTTGTACAGCAAGTGTTCCTGTGAGTGATGTAGTACAAGATACTTTTAATATGTGTACTGGTCTGCAGCAAGAGAAGGAAAATTCTCATGTTCCCTCTGAGTCTGTTGTTGAATCGGATTTGCCAGGCATTAAAAGTGATTCTGTTTGTAATGTAAGTCTTGCGTGTAAAGGGAATTGTGTCAGTGGTTTCAGCGTTGACGGGAAAGGATGTAACAGAAAAGAATGTGGAAAGGGTCCTGACAGCAAAGTTGGTTTGGACATTAAGGATGATGGCAGTGCAGTCCTTCATGACAGTGAAGTAGATTGTGAAAATGTTGTAAGTAAGGTAGATTCCAAGAACTCAGTCAAACAATCAATTATGGAATGTGAGAATTCAGTCAGTCATGATTTAGAAACAGATGTGAGTGGTAGTGGTAGAGTTGTGATTGACATTAATGATTCTATCAGTAAAACTAACCCTGATATTGATCATCATATAAAAACAGCCATTAATGAGGATTGTGTTATGGGCATGACCATTAAAAATTGTAAAGAAGCAGTTAGTGACATAATTGAGCATAATGAGACTGTAAATAATAGCAGTAGTGGGATAGATTGTAAAGAAGTATCTCACAGTGTTCACGATGGATATGAGTATAGTAATGCACCTGATAAACCACAAAGACAAGTTCTTTCTGAAGTGCCAGAAATTTCTGATCATAAAGTGAAGACTGGTTTGGAACAGGTAATACATGCAGAATGTGAAAGTGATGCTAGTGAAGGAGGTAGAAGTATTCGTAGATCAACTCGTTCATCAGTTGGAAAAGTACGAGCAGCCATGCTTCACTGTATAACAGCTGGTAGAACAAAGTCAACAAAACTTGGTTTGCAAGAAAAGAGCCAGGATGTTGTCAAAGATGAAGCAGAATCATTATCTGTTTGTTTGACTGAAGAGGGTAGTAACATGGGTAGTGAAGATGTTACATTTTCATCTCAGATGATTTCAGAAGACAGTGGCGAAATGAAGGAAGTAGAAAGAAGGAAAAATGCAGTAGTTGCTGAGGCAAACAGCGTACACAAGACAGAGGATTTGTCACTTAATACCAGCACAACTGTTCTGAAAACACACAGTGTTCCTTCCAAGGAGAACGATATTTATGTTAGGAAAGAAAAAGAATTGAGCGAAGAAAAAGAAAATACCTTGTGTGTTGATTTGCTTATCATTAGAAATGAAAATGAAACTTCTGATACTAATTTAGATATTAAACTGCTAAAAGAATTTATTGTTCAACCTGAAAAGACTTCAGAAAAGCAAATAATTTTGGACCAAGATAAAAAACAGAAAATCCTGGGACCAAAAATGGTCACTTCTGATGTGAATGATTTTGCTGAAGGTGGCAGTGAAAATACTGTCAGAAATGAAGATTCATTTGATTTGAAGCCAGTAGTAAAGAATGCAAATGAAAACATTACAAATATTGAAGATACATTTGTTGTTGAGTCAGTAGTTAAGGAGAAAAGTATACTAAGCATTGAATCAAACAGTAAATTTGAAAATGAGACTGACAACAAATTACCTGAAGTGACGCAGATGAAGAAGGATAGAGTGGATTGCATAAGTGAGTTAAAGGATGTTGAAAATGATGGCATTAGTGATGTGAATCAGCGACAAGTTCATAAATTACATAACACTATTGAACCATCATTATTTTACTCTAAAGAAATAAAGTCTTGTGATTCAAAAGACAAGTCTTTAGATGACATAGTGAAAGGCAGTGAGAGTGATATTTCTGAAAGTCTCTGTGATTCCAAGGATCAGCATGCAAGCAGTTCTACCAAGGAAGAATTTCCATCCTGTGTTCCAAAGTGTTCAAGTGAAGTTAGACAGGCAAGTGACAGCAGTAAATCATTTTCTGAAGAAGTCTTCCAGATGAATGTGGAACAGTGTGATAAAGTATCAGGAGAACACAGTGAACATGTCATACCTGATACGAACAGTGTATTGCACAGTGTTTCAAAATTTGAAGTTGGCGAGTCACTCCATGATGTTTCAAATTCCGCGGATGGTAGTGTGGTGGAAAGTTCGAGACATTTAGATGCTGGAGGAAAGAATTCCAAAGTCACAGACTCTGAAAACACATTTGTGGAAGAGGATGTGAGTCCAGAAGAGCAAGCCATCAAAGAATCAGTCCTCAGTGCTCTTGGACTGCAGCCTCTTCGAGCTATGCAGGTACTGTACAACATCTGAGCACTTATCAGAGGTATTCAGGGAGGGAACATATTGACATTTTACACATACAGTTTTTTTTGAGAGGTTAAGAATTTGAAATGCCAGTTTATTTACTAATGTTCGTATGTCTTCGGTTTTCCACTCTTGATAATTTAGGTTATTTTACTAGATATAAAAATGTATAGAGACAGTACGTTGCCCTCGGTGGACTAGTGGTTAGCGTGCTTGCCACTGGACCTGGCCGAGGTCGATGGATTTTTAAGGGTGATAAAAATCTGTAGCACAACTTCCTTTGGAGGGGAAGTAAAGCCGGTGGTCCTATGTTGTAGATTTACAGTATGTAAAAGAATGTTAAGAGCATGAAACGAGATGTTTTGTAAGGAAAATTTAGCCACCATTTCTCACCGAAGTCTCCTGATTCAAATCAATTTTTACATTGGTAATATTTTAGCTATAAGCCCCTTTAGATGGTAATACAACAGTTTTTAAGGAAAATTTATTTTGTTTTAAGTGCTACAATGCACTTGTGCTTAACTTAGGAATAGTCTTGAATGAAGCTTGTTTTCTGTTTTGTTTCCCATTCAGATGGCCTGTAGAATGGGCTCCAAAAAATCTGGCCATTATGTGTAGTGAGACATTCTGTGTGTGTGAAGTATGATTTTTAAATTTTGTGTGGGCATGTCATATTTACTGTGGAGTGATGTATCTGTCTTAAGAGTTATTACTGCTTTGTAGGGCGGTGTTGCTTCTGGCAGTCGTAAGAGGCCCTGTGAAGGGAACTATACTGGAACTCTGAAGACAGTGATCAAGTTGCAGCGATCGTCACCTGAGAAGCGCAGAACACCTTTAAAGCTGGTGTTGAAGCATGGAAAAGCCCACAGTAGTGTGGACGAACCTTCTATGGAGAAAGGAGAAGAAGAATTTGAAGATTTGGACTTTGATGGACAAGGAAAAATTGAATATAGCATCTGCAAAGAGGTTAGTTTTTCTTTTTGGTGGGTAATTATTTAGTATAAACTTCTGAATGTTTTAAATATAGTAATGAACAGAATTACTACATACATGAAATAGCTAGAAGTCATTACACTAAGTGGTTATTAAATTATAGCATGTAAAATATGTAATGGTTGCTGTTGGTGGTCTAGTTGTAGTGTGCTTGCCACTGGACCCAAGGTTTGTGGGTTCAAACCTGGCCAAGGTCAATACATTTTTAACGGTAACAAAAATCCTTAACACTACTTCCTTTGGAGGGGAAGTAAAACCGGTGGTTCCTTGTCACAGATTTACAGCATGTAAAAGAACCTTGCAGGCATGAACGAGATGTTTTATAAGCAGAATTGAGCTGCCATCACCTGTGTCTTTGGTAGATGCCTTGCGATTGGCTGAATACTCGTCCAAGAAGTCCGTACCAAATGTCCATAATATATATATCAGGAAACCTCTGAAAGGAGGTGGCCAAGACACAGGGTTGTAGAGCCATAGGAAGAAGGAGAAGAAGAAAATATGTAATGGTTGTTACAAATAATATATACTGTCAGAGTCAACAGGTTAGCTAAGCTTAATATAGTAATGGTTCTTGGGCTTCATCCGTTACATGTTGTGAATGTAGTCGGTATTTCTGCTAACATTGCAGTTGCCATGTCAGTCAATGAATAGTGCTAAAATATTTCACTGTAAAATACATATTTTGCGTTTAACATATAACTAGGTCCATGATACAGAGTCTTCCTTGAATAGTTGGTAGTTATTCATAATGGTCAAATTCCCTGTTGGTAGTGAACCCAGTGATTCATAAGTATGCTCACAGATTATACTATTGGAGCCTGTCCTGAGTCAGTTCAGCAAATTGATATAATCCTAGTCTATGTCTCAAATGTCCATTTTAATATTATTCTTCCATTTGAATTTTGAAAGTGTTACAAGACAGTGTTGTTTGTAAGTATTAAATGTCTATTGTTATGATTAATATGTATAACTTAAAACTTTTGTTTACTTTTCTCAGACAGGAACATCAGATAACACCAAGGATCCATATGCTTTTGGAATTGGGAGTCGCAAGTGCCTGAAGCCTGCATACTCTTACCGCTATTTTGGTTTGTGTTGCTAATCTTTTTAACAATTTAACCTAAAATAAAAAATAGATAGTAAATATCAGTTTTAAAGTTTAATGTAATTCTTTATTTTGTATAGTAGCATTCAGTTCTGTGAGAAGAATGTCTGTTCATTTATGTGTGATGCAGGGCATTACATTAATCTGATCCTGGGTCATTGCTGTGCAACTTTGTGTTCCTGCTAAAATACACTTTTTAGTAGAGTAGTCACACGATATCTGTGGGTGACCACCTTTAAAATGAAAAAGAGAGAAAGCGGACTGAAAGAAAGAAATAGGACTTGCACAAACTTCACTGTTTGTTATTCATAAGAATAGTATTGGTTATGTGACAAACCGCTGGAGTATTCTTTTCATACAGGAATGTGGGATTTAATCCACCATACTTTGGGGCTACTGGCTGGACTTTAACTCTGGGGTTAATGATTCGGTGGTTTACTAGTATGACATGGCCAGGTGAACTTTGCCCCATCATTAGTCAATATGTTAATTGACTTTCTAGGTTTATTAAGGCCATGTTCTTCAGCTCTCTTCCAAGAACTAGTCTTTCCATATTTTCTTGGGATGGCCTCTATTTAATTTTTTCACTGGTTGAAGTTCTAATTTTGGTAGTCCCTCATTTTACATTCTTCTGACACATTCTTATCGACTTATTTTTCAGAATGGATTCAGCTCATATAATTAGGGATGAGTGTATGTATTTGAAGGAGTCAGGTGACAACCCAGAAGACGGAAATCTTCAGGTGTATATTTGTTTATTATCACTGTTCATAATCCATATCATTTTTCTCCAGCAGATATTAGCAGTAATCCCCATTTTATTGCTGACAAGAGCAATCCTGGTGATCGACTAAGTCCAGAAATTAGCAGCAAAGATGATGGGAAAGCTCAAAGGTGAGGGCTATGTGAATATGTACACAAAATAATGCCCTAAGTAAACAGTGAATGTTGTTGCTGTATGTATTTGAAAAAAGGAAATTAAAAGGTACATACAGTTTGGGTCTGCAACAACTGGTAAAGAAATTATTCCTTGTTTTTGTAACCCATAGAGATTTATTACCATGTTCTGAACTAGTTGAATTTAGTGCACATCTTCATACTATATCTTTTTAACATCCACTATTATATTATGCTCCCATTTAGACATGTCTCCCCCAAGTGGTCTCTTTCCTTCACGTTTTCCAGGCAATATTTTGTATGTATTTCTCATTTGTTCACACGTTCTACATATCACATTTGTTGTTTTTGGCAGAGAGAAAGAATACACTAAGGAACGGCACTGGTCAGGTTGGTTTTCAATAGTTTTTATTTTTAAATTTAAAACATTCATTGGCATGTGCTGAAATTGACCTTTGATTTAAAAAAGAAAGCCTGTTTTTTTTAATCATGAACTAAGGTAGTCAGAAAATGAATGTGAAGTTTGTTTACACATCACTGAGAAGAATGATGAATTGACTTTATTTGAATTGTGTGATTTAGAGAATATATGGAGGTTTTCTGTGCATGGAGACACTTCTCAGGTGAAATATAGATTGGCTAATATTAGTGTATTGTGCCTAACATTCTAATTGTTATGTACAGCAGATAGCCGTGGTAGTTACAGCATTGCTAAATAGGGTTCTCTCAATGGTGGGTTGTATTAGGCTTGACTGTTATTTTGGACATTGTTCATTATCTTGGTTATTTGTTGATAAACACACAACGTTTCAGAAACTGGATCTGAGTCCGTGATCAGGTGAAGGTAAGAGAGTGTTGTCTTCTCTGGTGGGTCCCCTTAGACTGATTTAGTCTCCATCACTGCTGGCCCAGTGATTCAGACTATCTATATCTAAGCGTACCCCATTAATGTAAGCACCTGTCTACGACATACAGATTCATTTTTGTGAAACATGTTTTTTAACAATTATCAAAGTGATGGACAGTGTCCAAAATAACAGTTGAGCTTATAGCATTACTAAAGGTCTGTAAGACAATGACAAAACATTAATCCAGTGTTATTGGCTGTGAGGCAGTATCCTTTATTTTAAACTGAAATGGTTCCTATTGAAACTATTTCGTGTGAGGGCATTGTCAAATGTGTTGTGTAAAGCTGTTTACTTGTAACTGTCAACATAAATGATTGTCAGTCATAGTCAGCATTGTATGTTTATCACACTAGAAATTTGCATTAAATAACATCACTCCCATGCCAATGTATATAGTGAAACAGTTTCTCCGTCACAGGTGGGTTACATTAAAAAACAGAGCACATATGTTGGAGTAACATTTAAAGAGTAAAGTGGCCTGGATCAAGCAGTGATTTATGGTGCATAAAGACAAGAAGACAAACTCTGATTAAAACAGAACATGATAAAGATGCAATACTGTGGCTATGATTAACAATTGATTTTGACAATAATTACAAGGAAAAATTTGCACTGCACCATATTTGATGGTCTCTTTGTGGAAACAGGTTTTAATATTTAAAACAGGGCTCATTATAGTTTTGAATAAGGGATACTTTCTCAGAGTGAATGATATTGGATTATTGTTTGTAGTTTTCTTATTTCGGAATATAATTTTACATATAGAATTTTAAAACCGAATGTGACACATTGAAACAATAGACAAATAAGATGGTCTGGTAGCAAATGAAATGTATATGCTGTTATCAATAATTTCTAGTAATTGGTATATAATGAAAGTTTGTATATTGGATGAATACTGTTGTGTGAGTTTGATCTCTAGTCCAGATACCTTTGTTATTTTATACAGCACCAAACAAAGTGGGAACCTGGTAATCCCAGAGAAAAGTTCATCATTCTCCATACATCCAGGTCGCCTATGCTCTGATGTCTGCAGCTATTGTTTTGGAAAGTTTGGTTCCCTGGATACTCCTTGTCACATAGCACAGCTAAAAAGTAGTGAACGACAGCAGAAAATACTTCAAGGTAAATAACGGTTTCATTTAAAACCGTGGAAGGAGAGCGATGGAAGAACCTGGTCATTGTAGCCCATTTATTATAGACAACAGTAAAGTAATGGTTCTCCAAGAAAACAGGCTTCATTTTGTAGGATTTGAGGTTCTCACAGCTGTGAGTCTGAAGATGGCTGTCTTCTGGGTTGTCGCGCCATGTAGTCTGGTAGAAGTGTACCAATGTTTCAGAGGTCCTTGCTGCCTTCATCATAAGAGCAATGACTCATCACGGCGATGATGATGGAGGCAGCAAGGACCTCTGAAGCGTTGGTAAACTTCTACCAGACTACATGGCGCGACAACCCAGAAGACAGCCATCTTTAGGTTTCAGTTTAATTTTGATTTTAGAAAATCAAGGGGAAATTTATAAATTGCACCACATTTATACAAAAATTCTTACAAGAATATACCCCAGTTTTTTCTAGCTAGTATGGTTATAAATGTTGTTTAAGGCAGTGTGTGGAAAGAAGAAAGCTTGTGTGCACTAAGGACCTGTTTACACAGTGGTCCCTGTCTACTGGTGGATGTGAAGTGTACCATTCACTATAGGGAGATTATTATACTGTGCTAATGGGGCATACTAGGCTGATTTTCAAAAGATCCCAGGTCCAGTCCCAACCCTCACTACTGTTTTTAAAATATAAGCTATAAAAATCTATTGATGTAATGGCAATCGATAACTTGAGTAAATTCTTGATGTTCTGTGTTTATTATGTATAACTCTGCATAAAGTTTACATTTCTTGACTCCTTTAGAGAACTTCAGTTTTCTAGTTCCACAGAACTTTATAATAACTGTATTATGGGTTGCACTAATTAACATTTAATAATAATATTCTGTATTTGTGCAGCGGAAACACATCTGACAGCTGACTCATGCCTGTGCGATGCGTGCTATCGGCATGTAGATCGTAAGGCAAATTGTCCATCCTACAAGCCAAACAAAAAGCGACAGCACCATCGAAGTGTCTCATCACGGATCAAAACACCATGTTGTGTCCGGGGTTGCTCACAGATTGCTGAACATCATGTCAGAAGGAAGTGGCTCATCAAGTTGAAACGAAGTATTGCTAAGAAGGTATGCAAAATTAAATATGCTTGTCTTGCATATTTGGCGCATAAGTTGGAGCTTATCGTGTAACTGTTTGTTATGCATTGAGTATATATAAAATATTTTACAATCTTTGAATATTTTGTTCATAAAATAAGCAAAAACAAAGATGGCTATCAACTTTTATCAGAGCATAGGTAACACGTGAAATATTACTGTCCGAGTAAAGAAGTCTGGGTCAGAAGGAAACGTCTTGTTCTTAGAGAGACCGAATGTCATGTTTGAGTGAATCTTGGCCTAGAGGCCATTTATCCTGACTTGAGGTTTTCTATGGTTTTCCTCAGTCCCTCAATACAAATACTGAGAAAATGCCTCAGATTAGGTCACATTTATTTCATTTTGCATCTGTTCGAATTTATTATTCACCAATAATTTTTTCATTCAGTGCTGTATAGTCTTTGCTGCTAAAAGTGTCTTAAAAAATGTTCTAAGAAAGAACCTTCTTTTGTTCCTTCAGGATGTGAATAATAGGTTTCCATGACCTGCTAAGGGAGAACCCTTTCTCTCTGTTCATGTTATTAGGATGGATTTTATTTGTTTCCTGCCTGATGATTTTTGTTCATGTATCTGGATTTCTTGGCCAGGATACTCGTGTTATTTAGGAGGATATGGTTGTCCAGCAAGTAGATACTTTGTTCAGCCATGTGAAGCAAAACTTTGTAGCCCTGTTATTATGCCCATAGAACAGTTTTCTCATCCATATAAAAGGTTCTGGTTTGATGGATTTCCTGTTTGAAATGTTTAGGGTTTTTAAAATATTTTGACAAGCATTTTCTCAGATTTTTTTTTGTTAGAGGGTGTTTATGTGTTGATAGTGTTTTGAAAAATCACTCATATGCATTAGTTTATTTATATTTAAAGAGCACACAACTGAACTAAAATATCCACCCGCCCTCCCACCAAGCAAAGAGTAGATTTACATTCCTCTTATATCGCATGTTTATGTGATGTAAAAAGGCTTTTAAGAAGACATTTTTCTTTAATGTGCATTTTAATATGAATATTTTTTCATTATGCAGGTTCGAATTGATATGGATAAAATGCCTCAGCATTTACCTTTCCCACTCTGTCTGACACACTACACTTGGATTGACTACTTCATGGTGTGTGGGATTTGCAAGCGACGACTCACTCGCAATCACATGTACCCTCTCGGACCAGAGGTGCATGAGTTGAACACTGCCCTTGAAAGTGATGGCATCCCTGCACATCTGTCAGACAAACTGTTTGTTTGCAAACTGTGTCGTTACTTCTCGTCTGTCAGGTTGAAGTATAAAGACCCATCACAGTTGGCAGGGAATCAAAAATTGTTCTATCAGGGCTACAGGAAAAGGTAACCTATGATAAAAGTTTAGAGATATTCTCCTCTGAATTAAATATCTGCATGTAGAGTCATGACAGGTAGTGCCTTATTATGTCACACTTGATATGTGTTGAGACTCCAGTCAGTGTACTATGCAGTTATAAAGAATTAAATGTAAAGTTCATCACAACTTAATATACAATGTGTTCCAAATAGATGTATACGCATTATAATATTAACCTTGTTATCAGTGTCTGTTTGTTGTATTTATAAGAGGAACCTAATGTGGTCCACACATTACACCTACACTAGATTTGCTAATTCACTACGTGCCAATGTTGACATTTGTATTGGTTTAGTTTATTAAAATGTCATTATTTCAGTCATTTGGGACACTGCATGTATGTGCGTGTGTCTAAATATAAAAACTTTGTCTTGTTTAGGTTGCTGTATTAGTGCAGACAACATAATACAGTGAAATCTTAGTATAGCAAATGCCTGTATAGTAGAGTTTTAGTATAACAAAAATATGTTTCATCCCTTATCAAAGTACCATATATTCTTACAAAATAGTATTTCACAATAACAGGTATTGACGAAACGAAATTTCAATGTAACACAGTAAAATCCCAATCCCATTCAACAAAAATCTGTTTAGTTTAACATTTATTTTATGTTAGTATATCTTAACCCTTCCAAAGATAAGCCTATACAATGCAGGAGGAGGTTGAATGGAAGATCAAATATTCAGGTCTTCGCAAATGTTATAGGTGCTCTAGAATTTCATGCCAGAGGTGCAGAAGGCATAGGGATACATATAAAAACTGTCTACTAAACTACAATGTTTGTGATTCTTTGTCCTTAGGTTTTTGCAGCTGGAGTTTAATGTATAAATTTGACTTTTGGGCATAAGCCATATCGGTGTGGCTCATACCCAAAAGCTGGAGTTTATACAGTGTCTATACTTACTAAAACTATGGGAAAATCTGTAAATGTTCCCCATAGGAAGGAGAAACTAGAAAGAGTGAACACTTCATTCTCTACTGCAGTTGGAACCATAGAACATAATCAACTCATGTCCCAGTAGCCAAATCTTCACGCTACAGAGATCAGTATTTAAATTGCAAGGGACCTTTCATTATCAGCATATGGCTAAATGCAGTGTTAAAAAAGTATTTATGAGTATTGATGCACAGTGGCCAGGATCTTGCAGTGACAGTGGAATTTGTAAAAGCTCGGGCTTTGTGAATTGATTAATTCAGTTTCAGGAGATGTTCTTGATTATTCATTACTCATATCATACAGAAATCCACAAACTATGGCAGCAAGAGTATACAGCTTCCTTCATTCTAACGGACAAATCGTTATTGATAGGTGCTTTGGTCAACGGAAATGGAGATTTTCTCACTTACAGAATAACTTGATTTTGGATTTAATTTTGTTTGTTTGTTAATTATATCAGCATTGCACTGTGTAAAGAGTGTATAACTGTTGTTGAAAATATGACATCTAGAAAATTAATGTGCGATTTAGATAATAGCCAGTTTAGAGGCCAGTGAAGGTATCTGACAAAAGTTTCTCTTTCTTAACCAGGCTTCTTCAGTTCCATAATATAGAAGAAGAGGTGGATGAAGAAACTGCAGAGGAAGCCCCTCCAAAACAAAAACGTCGGAAAACCAAAGCTACAACGTCAGCTGCTGTGAAAGTTGATGGTGAGGATGACAGTGGGACCAAGAGTAAGTGTGAATTGATCTCACAGTCTGAGAACCAGCATCTGGGAGATGCCTTTGGTCCAGCTACAATAGACTTCAGTAGCCTTGGTGATGTATCCATAGACAGGTCAGGTGCCAGTACACCCATGATTGATTACAGTAGTTTAGGTAATGGGGCTTCAAATTCAAACTTAATTTTGTTTGATGACATTGGTTCATCTCAAAAGCAGACCTTGAAATTAGGGCGTGTGAAATCAACAAAGTTAAAGTTGAAATTGGGCAGTGGTAAGATCAGCAACTTGAATTACAACCAAAGTGAAGAACCGAGCAGTAGGTCCATACTGCTTCCAGTACGAGATGGTCTTGAAGTTACTCCGGTACATGATTCACTCAGCAAGCCATTCTATCCTGGTGTTGAAGAACTTCCATTGCATGCAAATTTTGAGTTTCATGGCAAGAAGGAGCAGGAAACTTCTAATAACAGACGAGGAGAGTGGGAGAAATGTACGGCTACCATTCAGTTTGATAAGGACACTAAAATTTTGTTCCAACAGCTACAGCGTCCATATGGTAATCATTCGAGTTTCTTTCGTCACCTTATTCTTTTGGAGAAATATTGGAGATCAGGGGAGTTGATTCTTGCTCCCAGTGCTAGTTCCAGAGCCACGAACTATGTAAACAGTGTTCAGAATCGTATTCAAGCCTATGAAGGGCATCCATCCAGTGCTCATCTTGGCTCTCCTTTTATTTCTTCACCTCATTTGTCCAGTACAACTTCAGCCACATCAGTACCTGTAATAGATCTCCCTTTGAAACGAAGGCTGGGAGGTGGTATTCTTACAGCATCTGATGGTTCCACAAGACCTGTAACAATAACCAGAATGTCCGGTGTCAGCATAGCGCCTCGGCCAGTGACATTCACATCAGTGTCATCAGCAGGAGTTTCGTCGTCCCAGTCTCGTATGCCAGTGTTCACAGCTTTCCCACAAAATTCCCCATCTCCTGTTCCCCGAAAAGTGATAATGGACACGGTTGCGACTTCAGTGGCGAGCCACTTTCAACAGAGCAGGAGGATACCAAATGTTCTCCAAGTCACAGCTGGTGGTAAATCTTTCTCCATAGTGCCAGGTTTGACACAGATACGCCACATTCAATCATTTCAGCAACAGCAGCATCAGTTTCAAAGAGAGCAGCAGCAAGAAAGTTCGTGTTTTGGGCCTTTGATTTGTGATGTCCGATCCTTAGCCACTGAAAATGGCTCAGCTCTGTGGGATCAAAATGTGACACAACAGAGTGGTAAGAGCAACCAAAAACCAAATATATCAGTGTCATTGTTACCAAAGACAAGCACTGGTACTACCTTTAAACCTTCTACAATTGTTACTCCAACTGGCATCATTCTATCTAGGAAACCAGAAATTAGTGTTACAGCAGTTACAGAGAAAAAGGATGTTACTTTAAAACCAAAAGCAATTTCATCTAAAAGGGACAGTGTTTCCAAAGTCAAACCATCATCAGAAAAATTAGATTTAATGAAAACAAAAGCAGTTCTAGAGGAAAAAGAGATTGTGTTGCAAGAAGCAGTTTCAGAACTGAAGGATAGTTTGCCACTAACAAAGTGCTGAGCCAGAATGCCTTGAGTTCCAGATTGCAAATCACCCAATGTCATAACTTCTGTGCAGAAGAGACAATTTTCAGACATGAGGAAGGTTTTAGTTGGTTGTTTTGTAATCTGGAAATGTAATAGTACGAGCATGTTTATGCTTTGTGTTAACCATGGTGTTGTCAATTCTACATGTTATTGTACATATTTCACAGATGTTATGGTACACCTAACTTCAGTCATATTCATTTCTCTTTGAATGAGAAAAGAGAAAGAACCTATGTTTCTTTAAGAGCAATTCACAAAATTCTAATATTTGACAAGTAGAATGAAGGCATCAGTTTCTATTTTCAGAAACGTTTTATGCAATGTTTGAATGTGTATAATATTTGAATCATTGCATGATTGTATATCGTGTGGACAGTTTTAAATGGTTATTTAACCAAATATAATGAATCACTGTTGAAATTAAATAATATTGTTATTATCATCATCATTGTATTTGTTTAATGTACTGTAACAAATTTCATTTTAAGAATTTGTCAGTTTATGTATTCCTCTAAACTTGATTCGTGATTATTATCCTTAGGTTTTCATGGCTAGAGTGTGATGTATATAACTTCAACTTTGGGGATAAGTTACAGTGAGTGTTGAAGATGGTCTAATGTTTCAGCAATAATTGCAGATGTCATCTTCAGAGTAAATGTCTGTGGGATGGTGGTGGTGGGAGGATAAGTCCTTTCACAGATGTGATATTGAGTAGGAGGTGAGTGAAATCACTGTGTGAGCAGCGAAGCAGAGTGGTACAGTGTGACTCAGGAAAAGAAATTTTTGAAAATTGAAAAGGTAGAATGAAAGATAGGAAGAAATGGGATAAGAAAGATTAAACCAGGTTTGCATAGTCTGCCTGCCCTTAAGGATGAAGTCAAGGTGTGTTTCATTATTTTAATGGCTTTCATGATTGTGAGGATTGAAAGTCCAGATTGTTTTGTATCTGCGCAGTGTTTGGGTACAGCTTATCTTTGGTTCTTCCATCGCATGTCTGATGTATTCCAAGATTATAGTGGAGATGTGACAGCCCATTTGGCTGACATACACTTTCACAAAGGGGCAGGGGAATCTTGTATACACCAAGTTTTTGTATCATGGATCCGTGGCAGGCTGCCATTTGGTAAAATGGCTTCTTCATTAGCCTAGAAATGCAGTAATTGTTTCCTTGAATGTAATGTATGTGATGTGGTCTCTTTTCTTAATCGGATACATTAGAATGGAGAACCATGTCCACACACCATAAGAGCCACCGCTGAAATAATAAAACACCCCCATGATTTTGTTCTAAAAGACAGATACAGACTAAAGAAAGCCTGAGTTTACCCCTTTTTATTCAGCCCTTCTACTTAACTTGCTTGCTCATTGAACAGCCAGTATCATATTGGTTTAAACTTGTCTATTTCGCTTCTTTCTTTTATTCTACTCTTTTGTGGACCACCTTCTTTTGCTTCTTCCTTTTTGTCCCACCTTTGCAATTTCTTATTACCTATCCTGAATTTTCTAAATTTGATCCATCACTTTGATCTCTGCCATAACTTCCTGTTGGATAACACCCAACTTCTTTTCTCATAAAATTATGTCATAGTTATCACACATTTCTCAGTGCCAGGTCTTTGTAAGGCATTTTTTGTCCCCCAACCCGCACCCTTCCACAAGAACTGAATTATGTGCTGAATATCGGAACATCAACACTAGACTCATCTTGTTCATAAAGCAAAAGTTGTCAGTATATACCAATCTGTCATAATCATGTTTTATTTTGCATACCAACTGACATTTTTTTGCTTTAAACTGCAATTGCTTTGGCAGTTGGAATTGAACCTATCTTAGTTTTGAAAGCACATATGTTTTTGTGAAGAAATTATTGTTGTGCTGTTAGTTAGAAGTGAAGCACGTATCTCTTGTTATTGATTGTAATAATCAAATTTATATATCTGATACTTATAAATGCTGTTTTGTCCACAACTATGATGATAGTAATTTATCTATTGTAACAAAGTTCCTTCATTATTTTACTGATTTTAGTTTTTGTAATTTTGGTCTTGGCCTTGGGAGGCCCTGGTTACGTGAAGTCTAGGACTAATCCAGTAACTGTGGCAGTGATGCTGGTTATTATGAAAAGCTGGAAAAGTATCATCTTTCATAAGGCAGCAGTGTATGTAATTAAACAGTTAATTAGCATTTCATAATTAAGGAAATGTACAAAAATGAAACTGTCAGATAAAGAATAAAGTATAAAATTTGAGTGGTGAAAAAGTGTATTTCATAAAAGGTCATTCACTGAAGTCATATATTTGGTATCTTTGTGTCATGCCAAGAAACGAGATAGTGTTTGTTGTGATGGGCTGTGGGATCAAATTTACAATCAGTAATTATTTGATGGAATGAAAGTTACATACAGTATAACCTAAAAGTTTCATTGTCAGAATTGACACAATTTCTTCTGAGCTGTGTTGACTGTGGGTAGCTAATCTAATATCTGCCATAATCTTTAAGGAAAAACAGAATTGTCTACAATGTGTAACATACTTGAAACAACACATATGTTCATATCAGCTGTTTTGGTAATAGTCTGTTTATTTTTATCATAAATTCCAGTTGACATTTTGTAATGTCTAACAACCACTTGTATTTAACTCACTATGTGTTCAGGTTCATGTTTCAACTGACAAAAGAAAAATTAATATGTACCGGTACTTTCTTTCTGAGCACAGTTTTCTATCTTATTTCCACGTATACCAAATACAGTATCACTTCATATGTTACTATAATCTGTCACACAATGAAAGAAATTCACGTCTCTTTATAATCATTCTTTTTACATTTGATTTCTTTACTGCATCATTAGTTGCCAAGAAGTCAAAACTTGACACGAGTTGGGTCCAAGTGAGAAATAATATTTTATACTCTGCAAATATTTTTGTTGATAGCATTTAATTTTCAAGAAAATGGATATAAAACATTAATTAATCATTCAATGTGCTGCAGTTTTTTCCTCCTTTTCTGTGTTTTTTTTTTGTGTGCGTGCACATCCTGACATGTGCATAAATCATGGAGTCCCCATCTCAAAATTATGCCATGCTCTGACTGAACAACCACAATTACAGTGAAATAGTTCTTACTGCTTAGAAGGAATTTGTAATCTTGTGATATCATATTTACCTGACTATAAGACAGGCATTTTGTTACTTCAGTTACAATGTAAAAAATTAACCTTTATTAGCAATTAAAGTAGTAGTAGTAGTTTATTGTTTTTTTGAAAATTGACATCTGGCAACAGTGGATTACCTCAGTATGAAAAAATTTGAAAAGCTTTTGGTATTTGACTTTCATTTTTGTTATATTGTCATTAAATTTATTTTGTTTTATATTCTTGAAACTGTCATTCTGTCTTTGACACATCCATCTTACATGAATTTGTATGTAAAACATCTTTGCTACCGCTTAACCCAGAGTTGCTTAAAGTGTTGTACAGGTATGGTGATTTTGTGATTTGCCACAGTTACCAGATGCTACTCGGTTCTTAAATGCATGTGATCCTTTGTGGTAATTGTTGAGAACTGATTTCAAAGTATGGTGTGCAGTATTAGTATTGATGGTGAGGATTTATTGGTAATTGACGTTACGTATCTTAATAGTCCTAGTTTTCTAAGTGTTTACAGTGATTGTGTCAACTAACAGTAGTTGCACAAAGCAGGTCATGGGGGACAACTTGGAATCAAAAGAGATCCTTGATATGCAGATTCCATTGTTCTCTTGATTAATTATCGTGCATACAGAGAAACCAATATTGCATAGCATCAAGGAAGTACAATATTTCTGGGGCCAATGCATGACAGTCGAAGAAAGTAAAGAATAGTTAATACTAGGTGCAAGTCATACCAGAAAGAACATTCTGTGGAGCTAAAATGGACTGTTACGAAGAGATGGGGAAAGGAAGTTTTGTTCATGCTGGAGAATTGCACCTAAGAATTTTATCTAGGCAAGTTATAAAATTTTTCACTGTGAGTGGGGGTTGTACTTATATCTGAAGACATCTTGTAGTCAGGTAAATATAACATTTTCCTACAAGTGACAGCTACTTACTTCCATGTATACATGTCACTCGGACTGATGTGTCTTTGCACTAATCTGTGTGGATTTGAAAGTTCAAATCCATGTTTTATTTAAATTAGCCATTTGAATCTGACAAGAACAGGGGGGAATTAATTCCATCTGATATCTTAATATTTAGTTTTCCATGTTTTAGTTCTAGTTGTAAAGGAGCTCAAATACTATATCTGTACTTTAGGATAGCAAATTGCACAAAAATCCAGTAGAAAGTTGCTCTACCTTGGCAATCCATATCTGTGTGTATGTGACAAAGAGAGAGTCATTTTACAAAATTTGACCCATTTCCTCCCACAATATTGAACATTCATTGAATGGTAATTAGTAATCAAAAATCAGTGTTATTAATGTTCAGTTTAATGTCATCTAGCTTGAAAGAGATGAACATTTTAACCAACTGTGATTAACACAGCTCTGATATAACATTTAGATGCAATCAAATCTAGGACCGGTATTGGAAGTAGATGTTATTTTGAAACACTTCTCGGAATCTCTCTGAAATCCAGTTACTTTTTGATGCTGATATGAACATATGTTTAGTTCTCAAACTGTAACAATACTATTTTATCATGCTTATAGTAACAAATAGGACATCTGCTGCTTAAACATTATTTGTCTTTCACCTAGTAGATAAAAAAATTGTTTATATCAATCAAACTTACATAGTCTTTCTGTCTGCCAATTTTTTTAAACGTCAGATAGTCAAATGTGTTATACTATTGGCAAATGTTTCCTCACTGCATAAGAAAATTGGGTGAAGGTTCACAATTTGGGATGGAGGGTACATAAATTCAGTGAGATGCCCATGACATGTTATTACACATTTTAAATAAATACAGTAGTAATGAAGTACTTATAAATAGTTAAATACTGCTACAAGTTTAAGAATTGGGCAAGATGTTTTATAATGTGTGTGTCTGTATTGTTGCCATAAGATATTTAACTGGGTGACATTCCATGTTTTGTAAGATCTCAACGAATCCCGATCATGTAATATTCATATCCAGGTGCAGGGATTGCCTTAAATCTCTGCAAATGTCATATTGGCTGCATATTTGACCAAGATGCCTTTTTATATTTTTTTCTTGTACTTTCATGAATGGTATCTACATACTCAACAACTTTCTTCACAAAATACATGTGCATAATTTAGAAATCCTACACATTAATTATGAAAATGTATTCAAAAACAATCTTAATTAAAATGCAGGTCTTTAAGATCATTACTGTCTATCAAAATATGTAGATTTGAGCTTTAAAGTCACTTGGTATAGGATTAAATAGAGAACCAGCTCAAACACTGCAGAAGCGAGCATATGTCAGGAGTTGGCATACAGGTTTGTAAAATTGTGTGTTAATAATAATTTTTACTATTGAGGTTTTGAAGTTCACATCTGATTAACAGCTGTTACCAGTATTGTATTTCTATTAATTATGACTTTACTGTCTAAGAACACTTCTGCTTTCGATGTGAAATTTTTGTGTAGATCACCTAGCAACTAAACCTCTCCACCTGTCTCTCTTCTTCGTCTGTTCTTCAAATTTTCTTTCTTTCTATATGACACTTTTCTAACCAGTTGTTTCCATCTTGACTGGTGTATGTGTGTCTTACTTTGAGTTGTATGTTGATTATATTCTGTGGAATTCTTCCTTCATTAATTCTTTGAATGCGTGTCTGTGATCTTATTCGGTTATTTATTAACGCATATTTTCTGATAAAATTTTGTTCCTCCTCCTCCTCCAGAACATCAGGTGAATTTTATACTGGCTAAGATCCTTTATACAGACAAACATACACTGTCCCTTCATCACAACACTCACATGTAGTGTACTTAATTAATTAATACATTTGTCAGTGCCTGTCTTGTCTTATCCCTAATTGATTGTTACAACAAGGTGTGTCTGAGCATTACAAAATTGTTTGCAGATCATGTCATTTAAGTAGGATTTGAGGTTTTCATGGCGGTGAGTCTGAATATTGCTGTCTTCTGGGTTGTTGCGCCGTGTAGTCTGGTAGATGTCCACCAACATTTCAGAGGTCATGCCCTGATGACAGAGGCAGCATGACCTCTGAAATGTTGGTGGATGTGTACCAGACTACATGGTGCAACAACCCATAAGACAGCAATCTTCATGTCATTTAAAATGCAATCCAACAGCAGTCGCATCCTGTGGTACAAAAGTGAAAGCAGAAGCAGGTCCATCCTCATATAACAGACTTTTGTGGTCTGCCCATAACACTAGAGTCAAGGTCATCCTCATTGCTAGGCTACTACTCATGCCAATTACGTAAAGGCTGTGTGGGTGGGAACATTGTGCTTTTGAGAGCAGAATGTATGTTTATTCTTAAACATCTGCAACAGAATTGTCTGCTGCTGTTCATGAAGTATTTAGTGTTGTGTATCCTGACAAGGAGGTACTGAATAAGACAACAATACACTGACTGGTGATTACATTTTAAGACATGGGAAATTGTATTTGGGGTTTTCATGGTGGTGAGTTTGAAGATGGCTGTCTAATGAGTTATAGTACTGTATAGTCTGGTAGAAGTTTACCAATGTTTCAGAGGTCCTGATGATGGAGGCAGCAAAGACCTCTGAAATGTTGGTAAACTTGTACCGGACTACATGGCGCTACAACCCAGAAGACAGTCATCTACAGACACAAGAAATGTTTGTGACATGAAACATGTCAGGCATCGGATAGCATTGACTCGTATTATGTAAGTTGTTCCTAACAAACTAAAAAAATACAACTTATATTGATATAACCAAAGCTTACAAATGCAGTTGTAGTTAGGGTTGCATTTTAAGTGAAACATCTTGTACTGGTGTAGAGTATGGTATATATGTAACTTTCATGGTAGTTATATCATGCTTATTTTTATTGTCACTGCCAATATGATCTAAGTGGTTGGCTTAATTCATGTTCTTTGTGTTTTAGACATAATGTTCCTGCAGTTGTGCCTTGGTTACCTTGTGTTATTAGATGGCAAAGTCTTAATAAAGGGTTCAGATTACAACATGAAATAAGTTAATTCAAATTCATTAATATTTGTTTGAAGTTAGTAACACAAACTCCTGCTTTAGAAGAATTATGGAAATCTGTAGTGACTACTGCTACAGGAAATTACTGTTTTTATATATATAATATTTACTACTTTTTCTTTTACATTGTTTCAATTTTAACATGTGGTTATGTGGTAACAGGCAATGTGGTTTTGATGGAGGGACAATGTCTCTTAAAACGTTAAGAGTAATAAGAAAAAAAAACATTTTAATGAATAAATGTAATTTTATATTAACTGGGATTTCAACCCTTACATGAAACATTTGCCCTACACAACAATGTCCAGGAATGCATCTTGCTGTCTGCTTTTGTATCTGATTTGTGCTCGCAGATATCGTGAAGAATAACTGTACTTTGAGATGGTCTTCTATTTAATATGTCAGAAGTTAAAATCAGGACACTTCTAAGTTTTGAGAAGCATGATCAGTGAGTGCCTACATTTCATAGTTATATCTTGTAATGTACATTGTTTTCATGCAACATACTATAATCTGCTTACATTATTTTTTTAGAAGTTTGTACAGTTGTTGAAGGAAATGTTAATGTAGATATATATATGTGCCCAGCAATATGGCGGAACAACCAAAACATTTGTAAAAGTAATTTATGAAACTGTAATTTATGACTGGTATGCTTAAAAAGGTGGTGTGATATTGATGGCTGGAAATTTTGGGGAAACCTGTTTTAAGGTCTTGTTTGAGGGTATGACTGTTTTATGGTGGATGTTTGTGTCTCATATTCTCTGTGATCCAACAGAAGTTGAAAATACAGATACAACTTAATGGTGTCTGGCATTTTTTAAAACATATTTTAATTTGTGAGATTTCAGGTTCTCATTTTGATGCGTATGAAGATTGCTAACTTCTGGTTTGTTGCACTATGTGCAACTCTGAAATGCTGAAAGGTCGGTAAACTTTTACCAGACCACATGGTATAACAACCCAGAAGACAGCCATCTTCATGTTTTAATTTAAATACCATCTTATGTTTTTGTTTAATACTTCAAAATTATTAATTATTAATTACACTGAAGACACTCAGGTATAACACAGTAAAAAGCAATAGCATTTTCATATCAAATTAAAATTATAGTAGCTGAAAAGGGAAATGCTGAGGTACACACTTTGTGTATGAAATAGTTCAGTGCATTATTCTTGTATAAAATGAATTGTTAAATTTAGCACCAGAGTTTTGCTGTACAGTGTCAAGGTTGCAAACAAAGAAATGTTGACTGCAGTGGGTACCTTGTTGAGGTCATTGACTTTATTGTTTATAAATGTGGAATCAAAATGTAACCATATTAATTTTCCATATGCCATGTGCAAATTTTTACAAATTGTGAAATGAAAAGTTATAAATATTGGAAGCACAAATAAATTTGTCATTAAGGTACCTCACTTAATACAATGGAGTATCACATATATGAATGAATTTGAAAAAAAGAGTAATTATTGTAATAATGAAACATGTAATCATATGTGATGGAAATATAAATCCTTTTGTTTTTTATAGCATGAATGAAAGTAGAATGTTTTAAAAGGACTCCTGAAAATACTGGCATTTCCATTTTTATGTGTTGTAGTGAGCTGGTTTGTCACGTGTTAAGGGATGTTAGCACCCTCCATTATGAAGGAGAACTTGGAAACCATCCCATCACATCTGTCATCTTGCAAAATTGGTAATGTGGTTCTTATGTGAACTATACTGCATATGAATTGTACCTTTGCAGTATGAAGTTGTATAACCTGATATTCATATGATGAGCAAGCACTCCATTGTACCTTTTTTTTCAGTGTGAGGTTTCAATATTATGATGGAAATGGTTTTAGTGCAGAAATGAAATGAAATATATGAAAATATGGAGTAGGGGAGTATGAGTCTAGACCTGTATCAGATTTTGGTCCCACAAACAGTTGCATGAACTCGTTATCCACATTATTTGCATTAATTGTGTGTTTAAAAAAGGTGTTAGAATGATGATTGTGGATAACATTTGTTATATTTCATTTTTATGAGATTTTCTTGTAATTACTCTCAATTCCTGCCCCTTTGTACACTTTCAGTTGTTATTTTCAGAGTTTTTATTGAGGAGTATGGAATAGTGGTGACTTCATTAATTAATATAGTCTTGCAAATAATGTTTGTATGAATGTGGTTTGAGGTTTTCACAGTGATGAGGATGATGTGGGTTTTGGGACTTTGTAGATTCATAGGTAGATGCCAATGTTTTTCCAAAATGTTATCTGTCTAGAGTATATATGGTTCCAAAACCCTCAAGAACATTAATGCTTGTAAGAGCCCATAGCATCAAGTTGTAAGTAATATTTTTTTTCTCAGAATCTGTGAAATTACATTAAAGTCAAGCTTTTGCATTATGTGGGGAGGAATGAATGTGCAGTTGGTAAGTTAACAGTACAGTGTGCACACATAACTTGATGAGTTAGCTGCTGGAGCTGAAGTCTCTTCACATTTCCTGATCTAAGGTATTTTTTTATGTTATTTTGATTGCAAGGAAATTCACAGATAGAAAAATCATGGTGCATAAAATAAAAAATACATATTCTTACAGTGATGTATTTTCAAGAGCTTGTTCAGTCAAAACTTATTAAGAAATTAGAATATTAATTTTCTATAGTCATATTTTCTCTTATTTGAATTGCTGCACATGCATGAAGCTCATACTTGTAAGATGGAACAGAGACTGCTTCATGCCATATTGAAATGCATGCTGAAGGTGCTGACACCCGCAGAATTAGTATATTTTCTGTGGAGCCATTATGTGAAGTTAGTTTTTGATGGTTTGAAACAAGATAAATCGAGAGTGATGTTAGTTACAGCAGACTACCAGATTTTAAATTGAGGTAACACTTTGTTATATTTTTAAAACAAGGAAGTGCATTAGTCTCACAAATTAATATTTGTTGATGCTACATTGAAGTATCTGTTATTTTCACATTTCTATATTGAAAAATGCTACCTCCTATTTTGTCATAGATTTAGTTCTGCTCTTCATTCTGAGTGTTATATGAAAAATAGAATTTGGACTCTGTGGTTGATGGTTGACAGTCGTGCTTCATGTTCAAGAAGTATGTAATTCAATCCTGAGCAAGGAGAGAGGTTATCCTGGCCAAATCTTATTTTTCTTAGTACCTCCAGGCAAATTCTGGGACAGGACCTTAAAGTAGGTTATATCTGCTTCCTTGTGTATCCTTCTAGAAGTCATAATTTGTAATCATATTTCATTCATTACTTTATAATCAGTGCAGTTGATAGGACATGGCAAAAAACACTAATATTTTCATAGTCAGAAGCAGAAAGAAAGAAAAGAAAGAATAAACATCTTAAAACTATTGACATTAATGGATCATTAGTATAATTCCTGTGCAAAGTTTATAACAAGATCAGTTATTAGTGAGGTATTTGACACAACGTTTGCTTGAGTAATGTTTCTATATCAGGTTTAATTTCCTTTTTGATTCATATGCATTTCACCAAGTGTTTCATAAGTAAGACAGGCAGAAGCTCAGTGTGCAGCTTTGGGTTTTGGGGATGAGCCACATTGATTGTAGAGAATTGTCCCAACATTTCAGCAAAAATTGCATTTGCCATCTTCAGGGTGAATGTACATGGTCAGGTATTTTTGGAAGTCTGTATAATGACTGGAGTTTGTTTCCTGGCAGGATACCATGTCCAGACCAATTCGGGTGCAATGAATTTTGTTCAGAGAGTATCAAAGTTACTTTTCTAGGGGTTAAAACAGCTGGAGAGTGAGTACTCACATCCATATAACATGGTTAAAAATTTGTGTAATACCCCCCACTGCCCATTCATGTGTAAGGTTTAGTACTCGGTCAAACATGAGTCAAAATATGCACTGACTGTTTTTAAATCT